TTCATACATGTCCCTGATTGGCTAATACACCTGTCAATCACACCCATCTGAACTCGGTAAGATGCACCAGTGACCAGACTTGTATCTAAGTATTGGATTGTGTGTATTTTTGAACCACGGTATGTTCCACAGTATAGCACTAAACATAAGTAAATGTACAGACGTTTGTTACAGCATAGTGCACCTTTAACATTACCCAAGATAACCTTGCACTGATATATCCCTCAGCACACATTGTATATCATATTATCAAACAAAGAGGCCATTTTAAACTTGGTTACATGAAAATACATTTGAATCCGTGGCACAGCAGCCCTGCGCAGAGTCAGAGGCGTCTACATTGAGCCCTGTGATAAAAGTGGCTTAGTGCCAGCTGAAGATCAGTGTTGGAGCGTTTCACCAGTTTCCACGCGACTGAGAGATGCTTGGATCAGACTTATACATGCTCAGATTAAATTCCTTTCAAACAGCCATGCGGGGTATTAGAGATCTACAGCGAGCGAGGAGGCACCTACTGTACCATGTCAAATCGATGCTTATGGCAGAGTGACAGTGCTGGAACAACTCTGGGTAAAGTCCTACGGAAACATTGGTCCATCAGTAATAATCTTTGCTTCACAAATTAACTTCTGGTGCATTTTTCTCCATCTCAGAAAGTTCTGACAAGTGAAGTTCTTTGGGGAAAGGAGGAAAAAACGAATGCAAACCCATTCAATTTGGCCGACAATTGAACAAAACCTCCTCCCCAGGCAGAAAGTGTCAATGACAACAAATTAGTCTTGCTTCCCTGCGTCCGTGCTTTCGTTTCATGTTGGCAATATTGATGAAAATGTCCATGAAGATAGGAATTCAGTTTGGAGTGCTGCTGCAAATTACCATTAATTGTTAGAAGCAACAAAGCAACAAAGCTTATCAAATTGGAAATGTACTCAAGGCACAAGTGAGAATAGAAAGTGGGTGAATGAGAGGAAATGAAAGAGAAACACAGTGACAGGGAGAAGGGGAGGTATTCACAGGCTCCAACACTCACAGATAGCAGACAATATTCCACCATTCATCTAAATGCTGCTGAAGTTTACTTTATTAAAGTATTGCTGTAGGAAATAAATAAATAAATAAAATATCACCATTATTCAAAGCTCATAAGCCTGCAAAAAAATCTCTAAATTATTCTCTAAATAGATCCCAATATTGGCTCAATATTAAATAAGGAGAAAGCAATCAATGTTTTAATAACACTACCATATCTAACAGCTCTGTCTTGCTAAACACTAACGAGATGTAACTTTCTTTGCCAAAGTATATGATTGTAAATTCAAACATACAGAAAGACCTTTTTCAATACTGTTATGATTTTTCTCATGATCATGACTATATATCTACACTAAGACTATATATATGCAAGTTATGTCATGTTTTTGGTAAAAACACAAGGTGCTGTGTTATAAACACAATGCTTCTACAGAGAATCAACAATTAAAATGGGTGCACATGCAAATTCAGTTTACTGGAAATATACCTCAGATGATCCCCACACAGTCACAATAGAAGCAGTTCAAATGAGACACATAAAAATGACATCAGAGTGGGAGGGGCCTGTACGTACAAGGACATCATTGGAGTGTGTGTTGACATTTCATCTCATGGAGACATGATCATTTGAAGAACATGATGGATTCCTTCCTTGTGTGGGGTTAACTGGCACAGTGTCACATTTGATGTCCACAATACAAGGTTATCCACACAGCCCATCACATAGAGAGACGCCCCCACATGTTTATCACAGTGACTTTTAGGTGTCCACACACTCCTCAGACCTGCGTCTCCACGGTGATGGATTGGCTGAGAAAGTATTTTGCCGGCGCTTCTAATATTCAGGACTGTTGTAATTTTTCACACAACCTTTTATGTCAGCCAGCAGGGAGAGAGCCGTGCCACCTTTGCCTTGGGAGAACAGCTGAACTTGACTGAGGGGATGCACAAATTAAGAAATGCTGAAAGTTCTTTGGCCGTCCTTTGGCTTTTTTGACCCTTTAGAGACACCATATGTGCCTCCAGTCAGGGGAAGAAATTTAGGGAGTGCTATTTTTGGTCAATTTGTTTATTCTTCATTAACAAACTACATTTTTGCAAACACCACTGGGAGAGATGATACAACATCATATAGTAGATTACCTATAAAGCTGTGTACAAACATGTACTGTATGTTCACACGTACACTGCCTGCTTAGATGCAGAGCACTTGGTTATTTATAAATAGACACGCTCACTTTTCCTACCCCACTTTGGTGACAAAAATTGACAAACAATTTATTTTAATCATATCTCTGAATTTTGCATAGTTACACACTCAACTCTTACTTAGTATACTTATAGAACTTGTATGCGGTTTCTCTAATACAATTTAGAAATACCTGAATGTTTTTTTTGTTGTTTTTTTTTTAACCTTCAACCTCAGCCTCAGAAAATGTATTCTGGAGGTAACCACCAGTGCATTTATTGACAGCTCCACAGAAGGTAGTTGGCCAAGAAAGTCCGGCGACCTTAACAGCTTCCTTGGGCAGTATGCCAGACCTCTGCATGTATTCCATCTCATGCTTTA